TTCACCTGGAGAAGTTACTAGAACCAGTAATCTGAATCTGAAAGGCAAATGCGGATTGAAGTTAAAACAACTACATTCTTCAGGTCAGAAAGCATTTAACTAAACTACTTGATACAGTCATAAGGCCAATGAGGCCGACCACTGAATATTTAAATGCGAAAAAGCAAATATCAATGTAATATAATAAGTTATCACACAAAATGTCACTTAAGTAAAGTAATATTAAAGTCCGGTAGCTTTCGGCCGTAGAGTAGACCGCCAGATCAAGAGAAGTCTGGGGTAACGGCAACGGTGTGAAGCCTAGAAACAACTTAGACATACCTACATTATTGAAGAAATGAAGTGGTGGGTAAGTTGGGGTTGTCCAATCACTGTTAGTGGACAATGTCTGGCAAATAATTTACATCTGCTGCTGCAGCATCCCTAACATTCCTAAACATATCTCCGCTTGGAAAATTAATAACCGGTTGATGGCGACCATAGCTTAGAAATCATACTACAGTAGCAACGTGACAGCACATTCCAACTATTCTGGCACCAGATCGACATGAACAATAATATCCCAATATTAAATTCCTTTCTGTGTCGTAATTGATGAAAAGCTGATACTTAACAGAATTCCTGTGCCGAGATTTCATTCTTATTCGTAACAAATTAGCATCGTTTAATCTCGTATCGTATTCAAAACAATGATTCCCATCATTTTGGTTATTGTCTTGAATGTATGATGGGGCTAAACGCAATTGAAAAACTCCGAAAGTTAGATGTTGAAGTTCTTCTATGGGTAATATTGGAAAATCGAGCTGATCTTCAGTAAGAGGTTCCCATACTCCATGCCTCCGAAGTAATCCTTCTCTTTCCAGTCTTTCCTGCAATATGTTGCGCTGTTGTGACTTCAATAACATTTCATGGGCCAAATTCTGTGTCGCTTCTTCCATAACAATTGAGGGATGATATTTGTTTATTAAAGCACATGCTATCTTGATGTAATCGCGAATGTGTGGAATACTAGTATTAGGAATTTGGTCTCTGAATATTTTGAATATTGATTTCAGATGTCCATTTCGGGATTCGCCTATACATCTGCATTTTGTTATGAGCCGAGACTGATTTGCTTCAGCTGTTGTTGGCTGCAGTGGCGTAGCCAGTAGGGGGGCAGGGGGGGCGACGGCCCCCCCCGCCCATGTATGTGCGGCGCCCCTACCGCTCTTAAAAGACAAAAGCAAAAATTAAGAAATTATAAAATTACATTCTTTCTTATTTATTTTGTTAACCTCTTCATAGTCTTCACCCTTTATTCTTGTTCGTAAGTCGTTATTGTCGGCAAATGCCTGATATTTATTTATTTTCATTTCAGTTTCTGATCTGTTCTATTACCTACATTTTTTTTTCTGAAAAAAAATTATTATGAATTTCAATATATTTATTTGTTGATTAAACTAGAGGTTTTGGTTAATGGATTGAGTGGGGCTGTCATTCTTCCGGATTTCCCCGGATTTGTTCTAGTTCTGAAGGTATCTGAAGCCGTCTGGGATGATTTTTTGAAGTAATCCGTGTCTAACGGCATGTCCACACATTATTTTCTTTAAGGCTTAAAATAAATGTGTTTCGCACCCGAAAAAAAATTGCTTTTGAAGGCTTAAAATAAACTTTTTTAAGCGTGACATCCGGGAAAATTTTTCGCCTCCGGCGGCGCCTGCGTCCGGCTTTTCGTCTCATATTATTTTCCCCCAATAAGCAAATTTTACAAAAGCAAACAAACAATTTATTATCCGCCCCCCCTTTCCACCGAAAAGAAAAAAAATTCGAGGCGCCCCCATATATCTTTGCTCCCCCCGCTCCGTGAGGCTGGCTACGCCACTGGTTGGCTGAGATCTTCGGCCAAGATGAGCGGGCATTTCAACTCGAATTCCAATGTCTTGTAAGAATTCCTGAGCATCTCTGTAACCACGATCAAGTACAAATATGTCTCCCTCTTGAAAATAATTTCGAAGTTGTCCAAGATCATTTTGATATTCGTGGGTTAACATTCTTGTATCGTTGTGAGGAGAATTTGAAAAGTATGGCCCATGCACATCTATTATGTAACCATCTGGGAAACAATTAAAGCCGGCTTCAAGAGATGATATGATTTATGTACCAAAAATGATTTCCTAAGAACCTGAAAGTTTCTACTCTTTTGAATTTTCAAGTACGTTCCGTCAATAAAAGCAATAGCTTTTGGTAGCTGAGGCTCCGGATTATATAGTTGTTTAGCGAAAGAGGTCGCACATGTTCTCTAATGAATCGTTCGCGTGACATATGATCATATCCTAAGTTTTGATTCAGAAAGGTTGCTAGAGAACTTGTAACTTTTCCAATGACGAGACTCGTTGTTTGTCTACTTGGATAGGAAAACATAGCAGTTAAAAAATTATGTGATAAACCTTGTTTCAGTTTACATAAAAAACATATAAGATCTTTTTTTGTTATTACTTTTGACCTGTTATATATGACCACATTATTACAACTATCAAAAACAGCGTTGAACTGTTCTTTTGTTCATGAGGTCAAAGATTTCATCTCATCATCTGTATAATTACTTTCATCATCAAACTTGTTAAAATCATTTACGTTGTTCCAAGTTGAGAAATGAAAGCATTTAATTCGGAACCTTTAAGTGTATAAGGCCTCGTGATACCCCTGAAGCCATTTTGCAAGGAAGCTACCACCAGTTGATCAATAGTCAAATGACCGGGATATATTCTGGAACCATCAGGAATAAAAATGTCTTTTCTTACAAATACGACAACTCTGGCTTTTAAAGAAATACGCTGGAAAGCCTCTTGATTACAAACAATACAGTTAGGACGGCGGTTAAAAAGTACCTTGAAAACAGTTGGATCGGGATCCTCAGCATAAACTTGAAGCTCTTCTAAAATACTTTGATAGCACGTGAAACATATTCGAGAGTTATCATTCGGGTCCTCGTCCAAAAGTTGCAGTTCTTGCCTCCGTTTAACCGCCGTGTTTCTAAGCTCCTCATTTTGGACAAAAGGAATTACTTGTCGAGGAGCATTGACAGATTCACAAACATAACAATTGAATCTGAGACGAAATGCCATTTCAAATACCGTTAAGAGCACTTATTTTAATATAATTATATATTAGTATATGTATATATTAATAAAAATAAATAAAAATATGTATATAAAAATAAATAATTCAACAAAGAAGAAATAATTGATCGAATGCACAAAATATCAGTAACCGTCAATATTCTGACTGTTGCCATCATCACCTAGCAACCAAATAATCGAATGAAATATTTGACAGCATGGCTAACTGGAATAAAGCAGAAGTTTTTTTTATAAAGCAGAACATTTCATCAAGAACATAATGTGAGAAATGCCAAATAATGAAGTTTTTCATATGCAGTCAACTTTCGAGTATAGACACCCTGAATTTGGCAAAGTTAAATATAGCTGGAAAACTGCAACGATGTTTCAAATATTCGTAATTTTGTATAAATAGAAATAGAAAAATATTTCAAAACTATTTATTGCATTAAATCATTTTAAAAGTACCTACCTATTCCGAAACGAATTGAGTCAAAAAAATTGAAATAAAAACGTGTGATACACCCTGTATACAAAATCGTTTAAATGTATTATGTGTGGAAGCATTTATTTATGTAAAAGTATTGTTCCGCCTTAACCATTTTTGCAAAACCCCAAAAAATAGCTTGGTTAGCACATAATTTAAATCGACTATTCAACTTTTTAAACACCCTGTATCTCAGAAACTAATCATAAGATTCATTTGTGCCCATGGACACATTTGATCAGGACCTCAAGAAGAACAACATACCAAAATTTCATCAAATTTGACCGGGCACCAAAATCCCATAAGATGTGTGCGGGGTCCTTTGCTAAATCTTACTTACAACTTAGTATATCTATCTATCAAAGAAACAAAAAATATGCCAATGAAATAATAATTATTATCATATTAAGGGCCGGTTTATTCACCTTCTGATAAAAACAGGTAGCTATGCAATCTGACGGATAAAAACGCATTCTGTAATCCCATTAGTCGGCCAGTTATCCGCCGACCAATGGAATTATAGAACGGTAAATTTATCTTGCACATAGTTGGTGGGTAGGTACCAATTTGTTTTATCGAGTGATGATAAGAATAACTATGCATTGAGAGATCTTCCTCTTCGATTTATTGGTATTATAACTATGATGTGTTTTTCAGGAAGACATTTTTGTGTAATCTTAGTGGCTTTCAGAGAGCTAAAAGTGAACAAAACAAAAAAGGGAATTCCAAAAATATGACCGCATTGCAGAATTAATCAAAACAATAATGAAAGATACAGAGGATACTCGAAAAAAAAAAAGATGCATATATTAAGGTACCTACGTGCAGGTACCTGAAATAAACTACAATAGTACCATATACCTAATTAGTTGTTTTTAATTGAATCACCTCAAAAACAAGAAAAGTTATCTCATGAAGAACTTCTACCGCATTGCACTCTCGTTTTGGGCACCGTCCTGACATTCTACTACGAGATTCAGCACTTCTGTAGTTGCACTTATACCTAATGAGTATGAACATTCCACTTATGTTTTGAGCACTGCTCACACATTCCACTATGCGTTTCGGCATCATATCAAAATATTATTTAAATCAGCCAATCGCCTTAGAGACGGGTGTCGAATCGTATAGTGAAATGTCTAGATGCGACCGGGTCCGAATCCCGGCCAGACCAAAAAATATTTTTATTTTTCGGTCGGACATTCACTGGCTGCCAGAGAAGGGTCCAAAATGTATATAACTGATGAACGTGCTTCGGAAGCGCTGTGAGAGCGTCACGATAAACTGTAGGTCCCGTCCTGTTCAGACGTTAATAGCACTAACAGCTCAGCGGATCCGCCTACTGTTGAAAAGTTTATAAATAAAATAATAATAATAATAATAATAATAATAATAATAATAAAAATAAACGCACCCTAAATAAAAATCTATTTATTCTTTTCAGATAAATTGACACCGCCACCTATAGTGAAAGAATGAACATTATCATTGCATAGAAGAAGTTTGTTTAAAAGTCGTAGGTACCTACTTCAAAGAAAATAATTTATAAAATTAGTCATCAGAGTTTAAAACAAAGTTTTTTTCAAGTTTGATGCCCAAAATTTTTAAAATAAGAAAATCCATTCTGTCTTTTTTATATTTATTCTTTATTAGAAGCCACTATCTCGACTTCTCGAGTACCTACCTACTCTTTGTATAATCACGATAGAGTCGATTTTGGGGATATTCCAAACCCAAAACGAAAATACCTAGTTATTTTGAATTTGGTAAAAGTAAAAATTTTAGAATAATGGATTCAAAAAAAAAGATAGACACATGGACATTTTTAATAGGTACTCGTAAAATTTGCAATTTTTTTATGGTGCCTAGGAGGTTTAAAAAAATTCAAAGCAATATAAAATACTAATGTATTTTTTTATGAAATCATCATGAATATGTTTTAACGACAGTAATTGGAAAGCTTTCAGCTTTAGCTATGTTTTACGAGTGCGACGTAAAAAGTTAGGTACAGCATAAAAATTTGTTTTTTTTTTTGATCATGAGTAGGTAACCATCTATTACGGCCACATTTATAAATATATATTTATTAAGTTTTTTAATAACTTGTACAATTTTTGTAAATTATGAAAATTAAAAGGAACAATATTTGTAGTATCCTCAATCATATTAATTTATAACATAGTATAATTAGGAAAAATAAGGTAAGTGTAGACAACTTTTTTCTTACACATGTGAGAAGCTACAACATTAGGTTAAAAAAGGGGAGAACAACATCCTAATAAAAATATTGCAATGCTTGGTTTTATTACAATCCAAATCGTCTGCCAAATCTTAGAAAAACATGATCAACATCCTGCCTCTTGGCGTTCAGGTTGGTATTGCGTTCATCAATAAGTCTTCCAGCAACTAAAAAAAAAAAAATTAAAACAGTAATTTTTTATTATTACTAAAAATTATTATTTAGAAGAAGCAAAATTATATTTTCAACATCTGAGCTTCAAATAAATTGGTGTAGGTAGCTTAAGAAAACATGTTTGTTATACGAAATCAAAATCTAAAGTCTTGCATTTTCACTTCTCATATAAAAGCAAAAATGACGAATGATGACGTTTTACTGGAGCGGTTGGGAATTACTTTGACAAAAATTGCTTTGTTATGTAATTTTCTGGTCTGGTTGTTGCTAGAAATGTTTCTGTTTTCCTTTTTCGATAAATGTATAGAAATTTATTTAAAAAAAATAAAAATACATTGCCCATATTAGGTATACCTAGTTTTTTTTTTGTTGCTATGTGTATACACTGTGTGCCAAATTTATTTGGAACCCAATTTGGCTCTGAATATATATATTTTTTTTAATTCGGCGGATTTTTGTGAAATTTTGTGCGAAAAAATATCTAATCAAAATGTACAGGGGGAGCCAAGTAAGATGCAGTATTTTTAATCATTGCCTTTGGGGCTGTTGCAAAATATAGTTTTTTACTCTAAAACTGTATAAATTATTTGAAAATATTAAGAAAACATCGGAGAAGAGGTGATGAAAACATGTTTCGAAAAACTTCAGGTTTTGTATTAAAAACGTTTTTTTTTTTCGAAAACTTTGTTAAATAATGTCTTACACTTATTATAATAACAAGGTATGTTAATACTATTTATTAAAGTTTTCGAAAAAAATACGTTTTCAATACAAAACCTTAAGTTTTTCGAAACATTTTTTCATGGCCTTTTCTCCGATATTTTTTTAATATTTTCAAATAATGTTTATAGTTTTAGGGTGAAAAAGTCAATTTTGCAACAGCCCCAAAGGCGGTGATTGAAAATACTGTTTCTTACTTGCCCCCCTCCCCTGTACATCTTAGATATTTTAAAAAGTTTATTGCATTTAGAGAGGCAAAGAGTAACGCAACAAAGTTAAATCGATATGTTATTCAGTTATTGATTGAATAGCTTTTATTTTTATTCAAATAATGCTATAACTATGTACCCCAATATTGAAAATTAAATGCATGGCTTTAATTGAACTTATTTCGCTTTTTTAAAGGCTTTTCCAAAAAAAAATTAGAGAAGTGTTGCAACAAAATAACTATAGGCAGAAACATTTTACAATAAAATAGAATTTGTTTGAAATGCTGATAACATTTTTTCTCAATTTTTTTAAAATTTACTGTAAAAAATATGTGTCATATTTTTGCTTCAAAAATTTGCAAATACGTAGGTATGTAAATTCTGCAATGTAGTGGAAGTTACAAATCTGGTAGAAAAGAGCTCACTTAATCGAACTAAATTAACTATATTTCCGATTCTTGAAAGCTCAACAATAATACTTTTTTCTAATTAGCAGATTAGCAACATGTTAAAATTCAATTTTCCTATTTTAGCTACTACGTGTTATTTTTTTTAGAGAGCTCAAAACTATTTTTAAAAACATTTTTCCAAACTATACACCAGCGAATTTAAAGAAGCAAAAAAATTTTCTTACATGCATCATTTTGAGATGGCGAATCCTGAAGAGCTTGTTCAATAGCGTAACACAGCTGGCTTATTTTCGGATTGATCTCCTGCTGAAAGTTGTTCAGTGGACAGTTGATAACTGATGCTGAACTTGAAGAGTATATAGTGAAAATGCTGACCATTATTAAAAAGAAGCACGCTACACCCTGCATGCTTACTTTTGATCTGAAATAGAAAAGTAATATTTTTAATTAATCCTACCAACATGAAACTTTCTTAAGCACTTTATGGAATTAGTGTTTAACAATGAATGCTAAAAATTCCTACAAAAGAATTTCGACATAAAATACGTTGAAACTGCTGGCGGTTTTTGTCTTTAACAAGAAGTAGTTCCACATTTCTTAGCACAAAGCAAGTTTCCTAAATAAAGGTATATTTTATTTAACAAAATCCAGAAGTGATTCCTCTTTCAATAATAAATCCTTTAAGGAAGTTATAAAAAAATGAACTAAAATTTTTGTTGAGCGATAAAAAAAAATTATATAATATTTGAAGTAGGTATACACCTTAAATAAACGAAAAACTTAGCATAAATATATTTAAAATATTTATCGTAAGACCGTCTTGCTTAAGCTTAGCAATAGCTACTTGAAAAACATTTTTCAAACTACCCAAATTCATTCACAATATATCACCTTTTATTCACAAAACTAAATAATAAACAAACTGGCACAAACTTTCACTGTACTAACAAACACCAAGAACTTTTTAAGGGATCTCTAGAAGTTCTTCGAATTTGCTGCGAAACTGTAAGTACAAAAATGTTTCGTTGGGGGTTTATATAGTAAATTTCGCCTACGCCCTGCGCACAAACGCTTTACCTGTTCTTTTTTCACGGAGAATCCTTGCCATATTTTCACCCGCATAAATTGCATTTGGTTGGATAATTTTTTAGGTTTACCTAGCTTCTAATTCTGGAGCAATTTATTTAATTTTTTTTCCTATTTCGATGCTATTATGATGCTGCTACGAAATCATCTCGCTGGTTGATTGAATTATATACAACTCTATTTAGGAATTTACAAAGACAATTTCGAATGCATTTATTGACAATATTTTTAACATAATAATATTCGGTAAATGAAAAAAAAAGACGAAATACCTGTGTTGTGTCTTGGAAAAAAAAGCTTCTTAAAAGTAGTAAAAATGCGAAGAGAAACGTAAATAGGCATGGAAAAGGGAACAATAAAAGGGGTTACATTCGCAAGAGGTCGGAAAGAAATGAAATTTGGTGGGATGGTAGACATAGGTTCCCTGATAGTGGACCTGAGTTTGCGACCTCGGGGGATTGCCTCTCGAAGGGTGAGGGGATACAAACTCTGACTTGCGGTACTTGTTGAGAAATAGCGCCGTTGGGGTGAGTGCTATTGCAAAAAAGTTCAAAAGACATAAGTATGCAGAGAAAATTGTGCACAACTTGGGTTCTTTGCATTTTTTGTCTGCGACTAGTAGTTTTCGCTCTACGGCGCGCCTAATTTGGAGGTGATTTGCAATTTTCAACAAAATCAGAATTTTATTGCGGATCAAGACAAAGCGCGCCTAATTTGGGGGTGATTTTCAATTTTCAACAAAATCAGAATTTTATTGCGGATCAAGACAAAGATCGCTATCAAACAATTCTGTAATAATTTTTTGCTCTATAAGAATAAGATTTTTTAATTCCGCAAATGCTCGATTTGATACATTTTATTGTTTATAATGAAGTGGAATTTAAACGTAAAGAGAGAGGAGGATCAGGGACGTTCACGTGGGTAAGGGGGTTAGGAGGGGTGCGTCCTTCCCCAATCCTATCGAAAATTGTAATAGTTGGGAAAATTGAAAATTACAAAAGCAAAATAATTATTTCTATAGGTACATATTAATAATGAATATTAACATTCCATTTTCTGAAAATCTGCAGCTATTTCTGAACAATTTAATTCAAACTTATTAAATTGGAAATTATCTTATTATATACAGGGTTAGTAAAAAGTACTGCAACACTTAAATATCTTCAAAACTGCTTAACCCTTTATAGGGCAGAATATTGCAGTTTAGTGTTGAACTAAATAAGAATGAATTTGAGTTTAATACGGTCTAGAAAAGAGGTATTTTTCGTTAGTTTGATTTTTCTACTTTTTTTTGTATTTTTTTTTTGGGTGGTTGATTTTTCAACCAGAGTCCATTCGGAGATATTGAAATGACTAGTGGACACTGGTTGAAATATAAACCAGATAAAAACAGTAATAAAACTTGCATTTATAAGAAAAACTTTTATTGAAAATAATGTTTGACACAAGTCGTACTCTAAATACATGAAAAAAAAAATTGGGCTGGTGCCAACAGACGCAAATGCAAAATCAAAAATCAAAAAATCCGTTTACTTGTTGTGAAATGGGCAAAAATATTCAAGGCACAATGCTACCTTGCATTTTGTGCATTCCATATTTGATCGCTTTGGTTTTTTCTCAGTACTGCACCTCGCACATCGACGTGAGGTAGTTTTACGTGGCAGATGATCTCCGACATTTGAAAGTCTAACCGAGTTTTCCACTGTCACACTTCGCCCCTGGATCTTTTTCAGTTTATTTTTTGCAATAACCAATGCACTGCCTTTTGGCTTTCTCCCAGCATACACTCCAATCAGTTGATTCGCTAATATGCTTCTGAAATTGAGGTGATTTTGGGGTTTTTGATGTCCGTTCAGAAGGGTAATTCTAGTCTTGTACAATAAATAGGAGTTAACGATGCTAGCATCCACGAAATAGTAAAATAGTTTCATCCACCATCTTCGAGACTTCCAAGAGATATTATAGCAGGAATGGAGTTGATCGAATAGATCCACTCCTCCCATGTGTTTGTTGTAGTCTTCGACGGATTTTGGACATTCGACTGCTATTTTTTCTCCCTCTTTATTGGTTCGTTTGACTGTTGCTTTTTCTGAAATTTTATGAATCGTACTCGCTATAAAAACACTTTTTTTGCCCCGGTCCATCCATTTACTAGCGCTTATTTCACCACTGGAAACAGAATCATATTCACCAGTTTGCAAGGACTTGTCTGAGCGGAGTTCCGAGGTAGGAAAGTTTTTTCGATTGGTCCTTACTGTCCCACAACCGAGCAAATTACGATCAAGAAGTTTGGTAAGGAGAGCATAGCTTGTAAAAAAGTTATCAAAGTATATACAATATTTTTTTCCTATTAGCGGTGTGGTGTTAATTCCAAAACAGTTCTTTCTCCTAGTGGGCCTTCTTCTGTGCTGGTTTTCTTGCCTTGATAAACAGAAAAATTTATCAGATAACCCGTTGTAGAGCAAGCCATCGCCCAAATTATAAATCCACGCTTTGTCGGCTTCTGCGGCATGTACTGGGTTTTGGATTTAGTCCCATAACAATTAGAATTCCAATAAACGCATGTAGCTCATCAAGTGATAAATCTAATTGTATTTTTTTTTGTTCTGCATACAAATTAGACTCTGTGATAATCCTATTGCAGAGTTCTTCATCAAACAAACTGAAAAATATCTCGGAAGGAGATTCAATATTGACAGGTATTTTTGGGCCAAAGGGTTTATCAAAAGTAGCTGTTGAAAACTTACTCGCATCTGGCGTATTTTTTGTCCATACAGGAACAATATCTTCGTCTGGAGGAGCATTTGCTGGCAACAGATGCGCTAGAGGTAAATCTTCATCGCTGGAATCATCCGACGTTTCATCAGAAATGAATCGTACATGACAAGGTTTTTTGGACGTTGGGGTGAAATCGGAATCCTTTAGTGAATCGTCACTGTCAAAGTCCTCAACACTCACTGTTCTATTGAGTCTTTTTGGTCTGGGTGAGCTTGAGCTAGTTGAAGGCTGTGGAATAAAGGCATCATCTTCACCGTCACTATCGCCACCAACATCGGAATCAACAGCTTGCTCCAACGAAATTGCATCAATGATATCAAACAGGTCATTCGGCTCCAAATCTGCCATTTTTTCTAAACACAATTTTTTGTCCATCGTTTATCCTAAAAATATTTAAAAATCAGGAAAATCTAAACCAAATTGATCACCTCTATTTTTTGTTAAATATTTTTTGAGGTTATGTCGGAACTAATGTACAAATATTTTCCTTGCGACAAACCTTATAAATAAAACAATTATGTAATAACAATCTTATATTAGTAGCTAACTTACCTGCAAAATATTAGGCATTTATATAAACAATAGATGGGTAAAAATTAATAACAACGTGCGGAGCAACAACAGACGGTTTGCAAATATGAATCCTATGGAAACACACTGGGGGGGTTTATTTGAAATTGATGCAACTTTGCGTACACGCAAATAACGTCATTTGCGATTGACAATTGGTGCACGGCTTATTTGAAATGCACTGCGAGCGATATGACTTTGCACCACTCGCAACTTCTGCGCATGGGGGTATACCGATCGCAAGTCTACTTACGCACTCGCAAGTTATGTCGTCAATTTGTCAATTTATTTTAATTTTGATAGTTCATTCAAATAGGTTTGAATATGTTTGTGATTTTTATAAATATGAATTTCAATAACGTTATTAATATTAACTTGTGCACAATGTGCTGGCTCGTCTTGAACTAGCAAAGTCTTTCAACGAAAACCTCATAGTACGGACGCGATTTTATGCCTTTGTCCTAAGTGACCGGGCTTTCGTGAAAAATTTCCGCTAAATAAAGCTACTTTTGAAGACTTATATGATGCTATAGAGGGCTATTTGGTGTCACCGAGAAGAGAATCTGTCACCGGGCCCGTATTTAATACCGCTGAGGCTTCTTGCCACATTTTTTTCTTGAATCTTTGGTAAAGGTTGGGGCGTTCTCTGACGAACTAGACAAGAAGCCTTTTTTCCTCCGCCTCTACGTTTGCGCAGCTCTTTTTTCTATCTACAGGAATAGGGCTTGGTGAAATAATATTAATTTTTTGTGGTAAATTGCTTATAAACACGAAACATATTTTAGAAAATTATAACCTGAAAACATCAAAAAAATCATAATAAATAAATGTCATCGTAAAATATACGTCACCGGCAGCCAAAATATCGTAAAATTCAAAAATCCACTCATTTTTATATGGTAGATTTTCAACATTTTGTGAAAAGAAAACTGGCAACGCAGCGAGCGAGTGCATCTTTTGCGTGCACGCAAGTAGAGATGCACACGTCCAATGTCAATTTCAAATAAAGCTATTCGCACATAACAAGTTGCGTATACGAACAAATTGATGCAAGTTTGCGTGCACGCAGATATTTGCGATCGATTTCAAATAAAGCCCCCCTAGTTGATATTTCAACCGTTTCCTAGCTATTATCTAAAATTTTGGTGATCTGGTCGAAAAATCCACCAGTGTGCGTTAAACAAGGCGCATTTTATTAACTGGCAGATATCTAGACCGGTATCTCTTCAAAATATATAAAATATCGCACCGGTTGATATATCGCCCAGTATCCTATAAAGGGTTAAGCTGCGTTCACACAATTCGAAATCTGAGAGTTTCTGGACATGCAGAATTCAACAGTGCTATTGGCAATGGTGCCAGATTTCCCAGTTTTGCGCTACACGTAGTCTTTCTGTTATCTTAAATAGAATGCCCAATTTATTTTTATTGCAATGAACTGGGCGTGCGAAATTTGATAAAATTCCAAACTTTCAGAATTCTATCGCTACTAGTTGCTGAAATATGACAACACCGTATTTTCGATGAAAAGTTTAGCAACGCTTGAATATCTTCAAACTTCGCTTAAGCACGTCCACGAAATTTGGTATCTGGGGGTTTTTGGGCAAGCGAAATTCAACCGTGATATTGGCATTGTTGCCAGACTTCCCAGTTTTGCGCTAAACGTAGTCTTTTTGTTATCTTGAATAGAATGCCCCATTTATTTTTATTGCAATAAATTGAACGAGCCAAATTTAATAAGATTCCAAATTTTCAGAATTCTATCTCTACTAGTTGCTGAGATATGCCAACACCGCATTTTCAGTGAACGGTATCGCACTGCTTGAATATCTTTAAAACCCGCTTAAGCTCGTCCACTAAATTCGGTATCTGGGAATTTATGGGCTAGCGAAATGCAGCTGTGATATCGGCATTGTTGCCAAGTTTCCCAGTTTCGCGCTACACGTAGTCTTTTTGTTATCTTAAATAAAATGCCCCACTTATTTTTATTGCAATGAATTGGTCCAAATTTCAATGAGATTCCAAATTTTCAATATGCTTCTTGTATTGTTAGATACTAGATACTAGAGTTACCTCCCTTCCTACCTACTTCAGGAGGAGCCGCAAAATTGGCTCAGTAGACCTGCCCCCCCCCCCCCCCCCCCCCCCAGTTGATAATTTCTATCCAAAAGGCTAGCCCTCGTTCTCCAGAGCTAGCGCAACCTAGCGCAACTTTTTCGAAAGCTAGCGCAGCTACAGGTCAAAAGATATGTGGCTTTATATTCGGGGGGGGGCTAGGGTGACGCTAGCCCCCCCCAGTTATTCGATCTTCTCAAAAATGCTGGCGCACATTCGTAACACCTAGCGCAGCCTAGCGCAAGTTGTGTCATAGCTAGCGCAGCTATCGTAGCTGCCATACAGGGTGGACAAAAAAAATCATGAGCCCCTACAAGTGATTTTTAATTTTTTAAAAATATATATGTAGCTTCCTTAAAGCTAGCGCAGGCTAGCGCAGGTAAAATTCGAGTAACCGCATTACCCCTTTAAAACATATATACAGGTATTTATTCGGGGGGGCTAGATCAACGCTAGCCCCCCCAGTTGTTAAATCCTTTTCAAAAGGCTAGCGCAAGTTGTGTCCTAGCTAGCGCAGCTATCGTACCTGTCATACAGGGTGGACAAAAAAAATCATGAGCCCCTACAAGTGATTTTTAATTTTTCACAAATATATATGAAGCTTCCTTAAAGCTAGCGCAGGCTAGCGCAGGTAAAATTCGAGCAACCGCATTACCCCTTTAAAACATATACAGGTATTTATTCGTGGGGGGGGGGGGCTAGATCAACGCTAGCCCCCCCCCAGTTGTTAAATCCTTTTCAAAAGGCTAGCGCAAGTTCGTGACACCTAGCGCAAGTTGTGTCATAGCTAGCGCAGCTATCGTACCTGTCATACAGGGTGGACAAAAAAATCATGAGCCCCTACAAGTGATTTTTAATTTTTCAAAAATATATATGAAGCTTCCTTAAAGCTAGCGCAGACTAGCGCAGGTAAAATTCGAGCAACCGCATTACCCCTTTAAAACATACACACATACAGGTATTTATTCGGGATGCGGCTAGAGTGCCGCTCTGCCGCTAGCCCCCCCCCCCCCCCCCCCCCAGTTTTTAAATCCTTTCCAAAATGCTAGCGGAAGTTCTTGGCACTTAGCGTAAGTTGTGTCGTAGCTAGCGCAGCTATAGTAAGTAAATGTTATACAGGGTGAACTATGAAATCTTACAAAATGTCGCCAGCTCCAAGACAAGATTTAACGTTTACAAGCGCTATCTATTCGCGAAGTTATACTTTTTCCTTTATAGTCGGGCCGGAATCAGAACAAATCAGAAAACAAAAACCAGTGAAATTCAAACCTAATATGAGAAACACATACATGCCACCGCCTGGGATCACTAAATGCATTCAACCAACGTAATTCTTAAATGGTGATAAAAAAGTACTAGCTCTTGCTTCACAAACCTGACAAACCCCACCGCCACCACCACTAAAAATGTCGACAATATTCAGTATCGATATCTCGACGAACTAAATATCGATATGTCGTTGCCATCCCTAAACTCACTACAGTGACAATAAGGGCGAATTCTCATGAGCGTAAGTTGACCTTTCTGGCGTAATCACGTGATAATATGGTGTTATTTGATTGGTAAAATCTCCAGCATGGCGAATATTTTACCAATAAAATCCAACCATTTTATCACGTGATTACGCCAGAAATGTCAACTTACGCTCATGAGAACTCGCTCTAAACCTAACACAGTGGCGACAATAGAGGTCCCGCCGCCACTTTGTGGCTTTCCTCTTGCTAATTTTAAATACGAATATATAGGATTTAAATGGACATTTATCATACAAAATTGAAAACAATGTATTTGATGACCATTATTAGGTATATCAAATACGTTGTTCTCAATTTGTTATGATCGATGTCCATAAATCGTATATATTCATATTTAAAATTAGCAAGAGTTACGCCACAAAGTGAACACAGTTCATTAATATGAACATATTGTAGGATTTAAAAAAAACCAATCATAAATAAGACTGCAATTATTGTCGCCACTGTGGTAATACAGTCACTGTACAACCCACTAGTTGCGCGCGCATCAAGGTTGAAAAAGATAGGTACCTACCTCAATTTTTTAATTTCTTTGTGAGGTAAAGTTTTAGTTACCTACTTCGCGAATAGATAGCGCTTTTAAACGTTAAATCTTGTCTTGGAGCTGGCGACATTTTGTAAGATTTCATAGTTCACCCTGTATAACATTTACCTACTATAGCTGCGCTAGCTACGACACAACTTACGACTTACGCTAAGTGTCCAGAACTTCCGCTAGCATTTTGGAAAGGATTTAACAACTAGGGGGGGGGGGCTAGCGGCAGAGCCGCCTCCCGAATAAATACCTGTATGTGTGTATGTTTTAAGGGGGTAATGCGGTTGCTCGAATTTTACCTGCGCTAGCTTTAAGGAAGCTTCATATATATTTTTGAAAAATTAAAAATCACTTGTAGGGGCTCATGATTTTTTTTGTCCACCCTGTATGACAGCTACGATAGCTGCGCTAGCTATGACGCAACTTGCGCTAGGCTGCGCTAGGTGTTACGAATGTGCGCCAGCATCTTTGAGAAGATCGAATAACTGGAGGGGGGTGGCGTTG